CTCCTTGGATAACAGTAACTTTGGCAATGGCTGAGCTTATGCAGCCCTCCTGATAATTTCTGAATTTCAGGTGTTTGTAGTTGAAAACAGAACTTAAGTTGACAAAACAGCAGTATTGTGACAAATGTGTGATGCTCTAGTATTTTGTCTATTAAGCCCATTTTAAAAGAGCAAATGTACAGCCACAGAAATTGCTTCAAACCCTTCTGGTTTTCTGAAACTCATGGTGGGGTGTTTGTGTTGCATAGAATCCCAGACTGGTTTGGGTTGGGACTTTAGAATTCATCTCATTCCATGGGCAGGGACACCTTCTGTTATCCCAGGTTGCTCCAAGCCCCTCCAGCCTGGCCTTGGACACTTGCAGGGATCCAGGGGCACCCACAGCTTCTCTGGTCACCCTGTGCCAGGGCCTCCCAGGAAGGATTTCTTCCCAATATCCCTCTCACCCTGCCCTCCTGCAGTTCAGGCTGTTCAGCCTTGTCCTGTCATGGAAGACCTGATCATGAAGCTCCTTGGGAATGCTGTTGGCTCCTCTTGGGAAAGCTGCTGGGGTGTCCCCCGGGAGTGATGCTGGGGCTCTCCTGGCCCTGAGCAGCCCCTCTAACGCCACCTTTTGTTCCCAGTTACGCGAGTTCAACATCTGTGGGCGCTGCCAGGTGGCGCGGTACTGCGGCTCGCAGTGCCAGCAGAAGGACTGGCCTGCCCACAAGAAGCACTGTCGGGAGAAGAAAAGAACCTTCCAGCAGGAGCTCGGCCCAGAGCGATGACCGGGTGGCAGAGGCCTCTCAGCAGCAGGATTCCTTCCCAAAGGCATTGGACTCTTGCTTTTGCACAGTATGACAGACTGCTTATCAAAGCCAGAGGCACTGAAGAAAAACCCTGTGATGCTTGAGCAGAATGGCTGACTGGACTAAGCCAGCTCTGACTGGTGCTGTGGAAAGGGATCGGGTCTGCCCTTCCAGTATTATATTCTCAAGCAAAAAGACTACTGTGGAGCTCCAGGCAGGAAGCTTCTCATTATTTATATGTTAATACGTTTGTAAACTCATGTACAGTTTTTGTTAGGAATTCTTGATAGCACTCATTAACTGTAATGTTCAGATGAGAACATGTTGTTGGCCTAAAAGTTAAAAAAAAAGAAAAAAAGTCATGTAGCAAAAGCTTTTCCTCCCATGTGGCAGAAGTGTCTGTGGCAGTGCCAAGGCCGGCGGGGCAGGCTCTGGCATCAGCACTTACTCTGGAGAACTCTGCATGGAAGCTCTATTTAAAAAAATACAAACAAAAAAAGAGCAAACAAAGTAAAGGTTGGAATGAATCCATGTCTGCTCTCTGGCTTTTTCCCCTTCCCTTCCAGCTGCCTCCAGAGCTCAGTCACCCTGGCTGCTGGCAGTCCCTGCAGGCAGGAGCAGTGCCCCAGGATCTGGTGGGACCCTCTGGGATCTGAGTCCAGGCTCTGCAGCCAGGGCTGCCTCCCAGGGGCTGCTGGAGATGGCCTTGGAGCAGCCAGGATTTCCAGGGAGCAGGATCAGCTTTCTGTTCCAAAGCCCTTGCACAGAAGGCAGTGGTAGGGGAGCTCAGGTAGCAGCTGTGTGTGGATGTGGCTGCCCTCGTGGCTTCCCCATTGCATAGGAAACACTCCAGTCATATGCAGAGATGTTTAAATATCTAATGTTGGGTAATTTGAATTATTTATTCACATTTTTGAGAGTTGTCATCAATCCAAGAATCATTTTTTTATTTTTTTTTAATGTAGTAATGAGTAAAAGTAGTATGGGAGGAGGATTTCCCTTGCAGAGCACATGCCTGTTTTTCTTTTAATGAATAACCATTTTCTATATAATTTTTGCCTTAGAAGTGTAAGGAACATCAGTTGAGTTTCCCGAAGAGCTAAATGGATAATTTAGTGCCAGGTGTTAGTCTTGCTTCACAGTAGAAGGTTGTGAGCTGCTGAGAGCTTAATGCAGAGCCTTTCTTGGAGTGCTTAGTGAAAAATTTTTTGTAAAAGCCGTTTAGAATTTTGATTTTTCAATCAGGATTCACTTTGCCACTTCATGTTGCAATGTTGGTCTTGCTTGTATTCAATTTGTTAGAAAATTGATCTGCTGTGGACTTCCAATATTATATTCTGTTTCTAATATCTGCATAGGAAGTTCTGAATTATTAATATTTGGGTGGGTTTTCATCCTTTGGCTTTAAGCATCTTGGGAAATAGCAAAAAACTTTTGAAGCTTCCTGCTGGAAGTTCACTTGAAGGCACTTGCTTGAGTTGCCACTCTTAAACCACAGTTGTACTGTAACTTTTCTGTTCAGGCAGCCCAAAATGCCCTTCAGTATGACAAAACCAAGCAGGACCCAATCAAATTTTCCTGTAATGGGTAATCTTTTTTTTTTAAGGAAACAAGAATTCTTTCCTTGAAGTGAAATGCAGTTTTTGATTAATATAGAATGGGACATAAGGAATATTTTGTTCATTATTTGAGGTAATCCATTGGATGGAGCAGAAGTATTGACTTTTTTCCCTTGCCTGTTTAAAAGGCTGCTATTTGTCCTGCCAGTTTTCCATTTTATTACCAGGAATCATGTTTATCAAAACAAAGTGCAGTCTTAGAGCCCTTAAACACTTGGGCAGCACCAAGCAGGGAAAAGTTGGTGCAGATGCTTTAATGCTGCTGCAGTGAGGACAAGCACAGGCTGCAGCCCAAGGCCTGGTGGGGCACTGGGGAAATTCCTCTGAGGGAATCAGGGACAGGTGGGACTCAGGGAAGGGGGAGACAGAGCCAGGATGGAGGTGCTGGGGCAATCCCACTTCCTGGGAATGTGGGAGGGTGGGGTGCAGCAGGAGGGGAGATGCCCACAGGGTTAAAGGGCTGTGGGACCAACCCAAGTGGAAAGAAACTGCCCAGACATCCTGCAAAGGCTCGGAGATAACACCTGTGTGTGTGATCTGTGACTCCAGACTGTCCTTGTGCCAGAGCACAGAAGTGGCTACAGGGATTTTGACTCTTGGGAAGGTCTTAGGGGCTGCAGTAAACACCTCCCTGCCTGCTGGGGGGAGGTTGTGTGATCAGTGATTCTGGCACATCTTGGCACGTACAGACATCTTCCCTCTCAGTGAGGAGGGGCAGAAAGGAACTGGAAGGTGGCAGCTCCCCAAGCCACCCCTGAGGATGAAGCTCTTGCAAAGGCCCTCCTTACCACAGAGAACCCCAGCTGGCAGGGATATCTCTACATGGACAAGTATGTAAAAACCCAGGATTGGAGTCATTTATCTGGGAGCAGACCTGGACAGTTCTGATCAAGAATTGATTTTCCAGGGGCTTCCCCCGATGGAGATATTCTTCATCCAAGTTATTTCCTGCAGGGAAATCTGGTAAATCCAGCTCAGGGCAGGAGGCTGCAGCATCCCTGATGCTGGCTGTAACAGGGCTGCACACTCCCTGTAAACACACTGTGAAATGCTGATACAGGTACCTTCCAGTGCTCCTTCCTATCCAAGTAGGGTGACATCACCAATCCCAATGTGCAGAAAACACAACTGGAAATCCTGGCTGGCTTAAGGAATACCAAATATGAAATATAGTAGATTGCAGGGCTTGGTGTTCTGATACTTGTACCTTGAAAACACCATCAGGTTATAGTCTTAGTTTTCCTTTGTGACTTAATTTTCAATGAAACTCATGGTAAAAGGAGCAGCTTTTTTCAGAAAGACTGAAATGCTTATGGGAGGCATGGAGATGGTGTAAGACACCACATGGGCCAGGAGCAAAGCTTCACCACCTAGCAAAACAGCACTGAGAGCAAAAGGAGGCTGGTGTGATTAAACAGGAGCATGTGGGATACTCAGAGTAAGAAGAAATCCTTTGTAAACTGAACCTGTGTCCAAATGTGAGAGATGGAAAGAATAACATTTGGCAGGTGAAATGTAGTACAAGAAAGCAAACAAACCAACCCAGCAAAATAATGCAAAGAAAAACAGAACATGAAAAATATTCAAGTAATAAAACTTGCATGAGTAGTTTTGGAAAAATCAGGAGCAGGGGAACTACTGGAGTCAGCAGAGACTGATGCACAGCAAAGGGAAGGGCTGACCTGAAGATGAAAGCCTCAGCAGAAGAAAATCCAGTGACTTGTTTGCATATGTGTTCCCTGTGAAAGAACTGGTGGAGTTCACACAGGAACACTTCCATATGGAGAGCTCCACGGGGAATCTGCTCAGAACAGAAGTGCTTTCAGGAGAGATTAAAGTTCAGCTGAAATGAGCAGCAACAAGTTGCCAGGAGCAGACAGTGCCACCTACGGCTCCAAGGGAGCTCAGGGATGAACAAGCTGAGCTCCCAGCTGGGATGGCGACCTCTCCCTTGGTACAATATCACAGCAAATGTCACAGCAGCTTCTGGAAGGAATTTCAAACTACAGCCACCTGCACTTTGTGAATTCATGGATACTGTGATGCAGCACCAATGGCTGAATACCGAGGAGGAGTCAGTGTGGGTTCTGTACAGGGAAATCATGCTTTAAAACTTTAGTGGAATTGCTTCAATTCCAGGCATCAGCAAGGTGGGTAAAGGGGATTTGGTTGGGACAGTGTGAACTGCATTTAATGATGACTTTGCTCAAGGCACTTAAGGAAGAAAAGCTGCTGGTCAAAAAGGGAAATGTCATATAGACAAGTGTTTAAAAGACAGGAAAGGAAGAGTAGAAGGGAGGGTTTTTATGGTGGTGGGAAGTAAACAGCTGGATGTCCAATATATTAAAAAAAAAATTAGAAAAAGGGTAACGTATAATGAAACTGACAAGATCCACTGATTATATTATTCAGTGTAATGATAATATAATAAAGGTTGAATGAAATGCAGAAGGATTAGAGAGTGGGAGATGAAATTCAGTGTCAATAAATGTAGGGTTGATTATGGGAAAACAGCAAACGGCCCGGCCTCGGCTGACTTCACTCAGCAACGAGACCTTTGGCTCTGCAGGATTTCCGCCAGGGAACGGCGGCAGCGCAGGCGGCGGGAGAGGAGGGAGTGCAGGGAGCAGAACCGCCGCGGGACGGCTGCGGGCGCATCCCGAGGGTGCAGGGCCCGCCCTCCGACGGGGAAAGGACTGAGGGGAAGGGAAAGGCTCAGGGCAGCGACCAGGAGCGCTGCGAGGGCCGGAACAGTGCGCAGGAACGGCGGTACCAGCCCGTGTCTCCTCGGGAAGTGCCGGGGTGGGGAAGGTCTCTAAGCGAGGCGCTGGGAGGATGGCGAGGAAAGGCTGATCCCGGATTTCTCTCGTGAGCAGCTGCCGGGTTCAGGGCAGAGGTTCCTCACCGCAGCCCCTTCCCTCGGTAAGGACGCGCTGGGCCGGAGCTCGGACAGGCAAAGGCAACCCCAAAACCCCGGCGGAAGCCTCACGCGTGCCGGCAGCCCGGCCGGGGGAAGAGGCGGCTCCGCGGGGGCAGCTCCGCCCCGGGCCCGCCCTGACCGGGAAGCAGACGGGCGGCGGCCCCTCCTCCCCGCAGCCTCCTGGGAGCCGCCCCGGCGGCGCAGCAGGGCCCGGCCCGCGATGGCCGCGCCGTGCCGGACGCGCACGCTGCAGGTGGTGGACACGGAGTTCAGCGCGGACGCGGTGGAGTGGTGCCCGGTGGAGGGCTGGCACAGCATCCTGGCCTGCGGCACCTACCACCTGCGGCCGCCCGACCAGGTGAGCCCGGCCCCGCTCCGGGGCGAGACCCGGCTCCGGCCGGTCCCGCTACCGAGCGAGTCCACGTCCCATCCCCGCCCGGCCAGCGCCTTTCCGGGGCGAGTCCACGTCCCCATCCCCGTCTCTGCCCGGTACCGCTCCAGGGAGAGCCCCGGCCCCATCCCTGGCCGACACCGCAGCAGGGCGAACCTCCGTCCCCGCCTGACCCCGCTCCGGGGCGAGCCCCATCCCCGGTCCTGCCGGTCCCCGCGGCAGAGCCGTGCCTTGTCCCGGCTGGGGCGGCTCGAGGCGGGGCAGAGTGGCCCCTCCGATGAGCGAGGCTGCCCCGATGGGGGCTTTCATCCCTCAAGGCTGGGACTGAACAAGTGCGAGCCTCAGCCCTGCTCCTCGCTCCTAGCAGGATCCCGGGTGCGGGGGCAGAAGCGCGGCTGAGCTTGCCCTTTCCTTTCCCGTGTTTGCCACAGAGCGATTCCCGAGGGAGCAATGGGGCCTGTGACCGGACGGGGCGGCTCTACCTGTACCACTACAACGAGGATCAGCCCTACATCCCGCTGACCGAGATCCAGCGCATCGACACGGCCGCCATCCTGGACATCAAATGGTAACTCTGACCCGGCCGGGCTCGGTGCCACAGCAGCACGCGCTGCTCCCCCCGGCATCCTTTTTTGGCATGGCAGCAACAGCAATAGTTACTAATGGAACAGTTCCTGACTTCTTGGAGGGAAATACTTTCCAGTTTGTTCCAATGAGCAAAGACTGCCTTGTTTCTGTTTTATACTTTCTGCTCACTTGACTGGTCGTGACTTTGTACTTCATTTATTTATATAATAACATATAGTAGATCTCCCTTGTATAGAATCCCCTCCTTGCAGGTGTGTGGGAGCTTGAGGAGCCTTAGATTTTCTTAATATGAAATTTTTTTAGTCACATACCTTTTCCTTTTGCATGTTGGAATGAAAGTTATGGCTTTGCTCTCTTTCTAAAATGCAAGAAAGATGGACATTGGAGACTTGTTTAACTTGGTCTTTTAGGTGCCACATTCCTGTTGCAGAACATCCCATGGTTGGCATCGCAAACTCCACAGGTGCTGTGGAATTTTACCACCTGACTGGAAGTGAGGTGGGTGGATGCAGTGCCTGCTGCTGCTGAAGCTGGTTTTAACCCATGTTTGCTACATCTCTACATTTCCTAGTAGTGTGTATAGGCTTGCAGGAAAGCTGGTTTCCGTGGCTTCCTCAGCATGCTTAGCTTTTTAAATATTTCTTTTGTCTTCTGATAATGTTTGTTATAAATTCTATTAACTTTTTCATGGTGCCAGACAGTTGGGTTGGGCTCTACCCACCTGCAAAGTTGGGGAAGAGAGGCAGGAGGAGGGAAGAAGCAAACCCTGGAAACAAGTATGGCCTAACTGGGAAACATCAGAAAGTGCAAAGCTGGTAAAAGAGGGAGGATTTTTGGAGTGGGGTTTCTTTTGGTGGTGAGAGAAGAGGGTGATCTGAGCCATTCTCACAGACCAAAGAAAGCAGAGGCCAGTCTGTAAGGGAATTCAGCAGTCAGGTCATCACTTCTGCTGCACTTCATCACTCCCTGGGAAGCAGCAGAATTTAAGGGAGGTTTGGTGGGAGATGAGCAGCAGAAGGGTGGGATCCTGTGTGTGCACGTTTGCTCCTCAGCCAGCACTGGACGATTGTACAGTGCTGTGGGACATTTCATTGCTCCGTTAGTGTGGGACCCTTATTTGCTCATCAGTCTCTGGAAAACCTGCTGTGGGAAGCAGTGCAGCTGTCATTATGTGCCTGCTGTCTTCCCAGTCTTAATCCACTCCTTTTGTTTCTAGTAGAAGAACAGCTGCATGTTGGAGCCACGCTTCAGGGTGGATCTCGGGACACAGCGACTGGCCTTGTCCTTGGACTGGTCCACTGGACGAGAGCAGTGGTGAGGATGGGAGATGGAGGCTGGGGCTGGAGGCCAGGGTGTGTGGGACAACTTTCAGAAGTTGAAGGCTTGGATGAAGCAGTTTTTAGTGATTTTGACTTTCTTAATCCCAGCTGGCTCCCTGGTCCTGCTCTAGAAGTAGCTGTTTCCAGAGCAAAGGTAACAAACACAAACAGTGTGGCCACTGAAACAGGAGCAGAGACTAAACCAACAACAGATGGGAGGTTGTGCTCTGGGGAATGGCAGCAGGTGAGCCAGGGATGTGTCTTCTGCTGCCTTTGTTAAAAGGAAAGACCTGAACGGGATGCAAATGGAGCCACTGGTTCCAACTCTGCTCTTAGAACAGCTGAAATTTTAGTGTGAAATTCTCCTTAAGAACTGCTAATAATAGCACATGTAGAAAGTTTAATCATGGGTTAGTGAGAAACAGGAGAGAATTGGTTTGGAAGTGGCTCCTCTTTCTCTCAACGGCTCATACATGAGCTTTCAGAATCAGCATTGCTGTGTGAAATAAGCTGAATTAGCTGTACCTTGAAGGCAGGGGGGTGCTAATGTGTTCTGCAGGTGCAGATGAAGAGTGGTGCCTTTGGTGTGAGGCTGGAAAAGCAGGGGGATCAGGCAGTCATTGCTTAATGCTGTAGGGCAAATTTGCTAATTAAAGCTGTTTCTGTGTGTGCTAATGTGTTAATGAGTAAGTGGAATTGCCAGTTAGACTTCCTTGTTACATTCCTCCTTTTTGTCTCTGTCGTTCATGATAAAAGGTTGTTGCCATGATGAAATACCTCTTTAAACCTGTTACTGTTGTCACTTGAGAGACCAGTAACTTCTCCTAGAAGCCAAATGTACATTGTTCACATCTCTGTAGGAAGGGGGTGGCCCTGTATCTCTTATGTGGGAATTTGGGAGATTCAGTGTGGTTGAATCATTTGATACAGAACTGGAAAGAAGCCCCAGGCCACCAAAGCAGTGCCTGCAGTTGCAGGTAACCAAACCTGCAAAGAGACCTAGTTCATGTCAGGGAATGCCAGAAAATCTGTGCACTGGGAATTGCAAAACATTTGCCAGTGCTCCAAGGTCATTGTGTCTAGAAACTGTAACTGTACTGTGGCACAGGAAGAGAGCAGGAAAGGTCAGGATCAGCCAGTGCTTTGGGTTTCAGTGATAGCAAGGAAATAAAACATCTCTTTGTACTCCAGAAGAGGGAAAAGGCTCTGAAAGGGCATTGTCAGTCTGACTTGGAGAAAAAAAAAAGAACCCTCTTCAAATGGAATTTGTTTACTGATGTAATGTGAAGCATGTAAGAAGTCAAGTTTTGCATCTCTGAGAAAGATGAGAGCCAGTAGTGGTTCTTTCCCTGACCTGGGAGTTGAGTGCTTACTCCCTGTGAGAACAGGGAGTGGTGGTCACTGGGACAGGTGATTTTAAGATGAAGCTGAAAAGAATTGTATGAATGTGTCATTCCTGTCAGTTTCTGCCAGTGATTATTTGAATCGAAATATTTGATTGCTGCAGTAATTCCCAATGTTTTTTGTGTACCCTGCTGTAGTGGATGTCCTTTAAGAGTGATCAGCAGTGATTCAGAGGGGAAGCTGAATCTTTTCTCCATAGATGAATCTGCTCCTTCTGTGCATGTCCTGAACCAGTGGGAAGCTCACAAATTTGAGGCCTGGATTGCTGCTTTTAATTACTGGGACATTGATATCGTGTATTCAGGTCTGTATGGGCTGGGGATCTCCTTAGGTACTGTTGGGGAGGGGGCCCCTTGTTTGGGGATGTGTTCCTTGGGTTTTTACTTTACAGGGTTGGGTGAGCTGCTTGCATCACCTCTTGAAAGAGCAGGGTCCTCTGATTAGGGGTGAAAGGCTTAATTTCTTGATGGTGGGAAGTGGTTGGAGTTAATTAGGAGAAACTGTACCCTGAAAACTGTACTTTGGGTAGCTATTGGCAAAAAAGATATTCTCCTGCAGTATGCTAAGAGCCAGAGAGCTGTTTGAGTCCAGTCTTTATGACTTCTAACTCTTTTTCTTACCAAAGAGGAGGGTATCAGCATACTGATACCACTTGCATTTTCTGTGGTGATGAGTGTTGGGAGCCTGATGTGATTTTTTTGTGTGTCTGTTAAATTCTGTGAGATCCCAGGGCAGGAAAGCATCAGCTCTGTGTCACAGACTGCCCTGAGCAGGAAGGGACCACCAGGATCATCAATCCAACCGCTGTCCCTGCCCAGACCCCCCAACAAGCCCACCCTGGGCATCCCTGGCAGCGCTGTCCAAAGGCTCCTGGAGCTCTGGCAGCCTCGGGGCCGTGCCCATTCCCTGGGGAGCCTGGGCAGTGCCAGCACCCTCTGGGGGAAGAACCTTGCCCTGAGCTCCAGCCTGAGCTGCCCTGGCCCAGCCCCAGCCGTGCCCTGGCTCCTGTCCCTGTCCCGGAGAGCAGAGATGGGAGCTGCCCCTCGGGAGGAGCTGCAGACTCTTGGCACTGCTTTGCTCCACTCTCAGGGCTGGTGCTGAGGGTCACACTGTTTTGTCCCCGGGCAGGAGGGGATGACAGCCTGCTCAAGGGCTGGGACACCAGGTGCAGTCCGGAGGCTCCAGTCTTCACCAGCAGGAGGTGAGTGAGACCTGTCCACGCCCAGCCCTCCAGCAGTGGCGTGGGAACACCCGCTGCTGCCCTGCCCCTGCCCAAGCCACTGAATTTGGAGATGTGCAGTGATAGTGGATCCTGCTTCTGCCTCTCGTGGGAAGTGGAGGCATCTATTAGTTTTTTTCATCAGAACAACTTTAGGTTGAGGCTTTCTTCTCTATGTCCTTTAACACAATAAAGCAAGTGCTGACTTCCACATGTGAAGAAGGTGACAGTTTCTTTCTAAAAAACGATCCTGATTTACACTTTTATTTTGGCAATTTTTGTGTGTGTTAAATTTGGACATATTATTGTGAATGCTTTTTAGAAAATATTTTGTTCTCCACTGTTTAGTTGTTTGAAGTGATCTCTTTTCTCTCTTATTTTAAAAAAATTGTTAGAACAATATACACAGCTCTAGTGGAATTCTGTATGTAAACTTAAATTACACTGGGAACTATGGCTATGGAAATACTAATTTTGGGAGTAAAGTCTCCTGGGAATGGAGTTGTTCCGCTGGAATTCTTAGGGCCTTTGAGCAGGAGTTTATGGGGTAAATATTACTAGAAAATACTTGTGCTGAGAGATGGTGTGAATAGAAGTCTTGTCCCTGGGAAGGCTGTTGGACTGTGTAGATGAAACTCTGCTTGGGTATAGGTCACTGGACTGAAATTTTGAGCTTACCTCTCCTGAGACACCTTGATGAAATAGTGTGAACTCAAAATCCTTGAAATTCATGGAAGAAGCCCTTCTCAAATTGCTGTCTCTTCCCTCTGCAGACATTCCATGGGTGTGTGCAGCATTCAGTGCAGTCCCCACCGAGAGAATCTCCTGGCCACAGGCAGGTGAGTCCCTTCCAGCTGCTCTCCCCTGGTGTACCCAACCTCCTCTGTTACGTGAACATGCTGCTGCCTCTGCAGAAATTCCCAAGTGGTGCAGAGCATGTGGTCTTTCCTACCTTTCTTCTGTGCCCTGACCTGGCTGTGCTTTCTGCCTGTTTGTGGCGTGTCCCCAGCTATGACGAGCACGTGCTGCTGTGGGACACCAGGAACATGAAGCAGCCTCTGGCTGACACCCACGTGGAAGGTGGGGTGTGGAGGCTGAAGTGGCACCCCACGTGTGACTTCGTGCTCTTGGCAGCCTGCATGCAGAGTGGCTTCAAGATCCTCGACTGCCGTGGGAGCCTGGGTGAGTGTGCAGGGACCAGAGGTGCTCCAGGGCTGCTCTGCTGCGCTCCTTCGCTGCCTCCAGGTTCATGGGGAGCTCCAGCTCTTGCTGGAAGGATTGAGATGGTGTTAATAGCCATAGGCTTCTGTTCCAATTTGAGATAACTTCCAGCTTTTCCACATCTGTGCACTCTCTTGGCCTGCTTGGTTGTGCCAAGACCCTGTCACTATCTGTGTAAATCTCTCATAACTTCTTTTCACGGGAGGAAAGCCTTTGTGTTTGGTCTGAGGGCACAACCATTCTAGGTTTGTGTTCATTGTGATGGTTCAGAGAGGTGCTTCTGTCAGGTGGTGCTTTCCTGTGAGTAGGAGTCACTGACCTGCTGGGGAATCAGTTATTGCCTCAGGAAGGAAGTGCTTTGCAGCCTGGTTAATCCAAAATAACATGAATAAGCTCTTCGTGTGAATGATGAGGTGGTTCCATGGTGGAAAAGCTGTTTGGGTTCACATTACAAATGCAGTCTGACAGAGGATGGTTGGCTTCCTGGGTTTTTCAGACCCTGGCCAGATTAGGAAATGAGGATGGCATTTCTCCTGTGTGGGGAAGGAAGGAACTCACTGTGAGAGTCAAATGCTGAAAGCTGACAGGAAGAACATCTGCAGTGTATTAATAACCAGGACCTGGCAATCTCCCAGGTGTGTTCATGGCTCAGTGAAGGTTGTGGTATGATCAGTCTTGTCTGTCTTGAGCCTTTGTAGGCACTTTGCATAATGATGCTCTTTAATCTCATGCATGTTAAACCCTCTTCCTCTCTGCTACTGACCCAGGAGGAATCAAGGCCATTGAGAGGTGGCTGAAAAATGGTCAGTACCTCATTCCTCCTGGAATGCTTCACTCAGGGGTGAAGAAGGGAATAACCAGAGAACTCTTCGCATGAGACACAGCCAGTGTCACAACCCACGATTTGATTTCTAAGTAATTTCATTTGTCCTTTTTTTTTTTTTGAAGCGGAAAACACAGAGGAATGTATCATCCTGTCATCCTATGTCCTGCACAATTCCTTGGCCTACGGGGCTGACTGGTCAAGGCTGTGTCCAAGGGATTCCTTGCCTGCAAGCCAGGACCTTGCTGCTGCGTGCCAGCCTTCGGAGGAGCTCGTGGGAGCATCAGGGCAAGGAGACGAGAGGCTGAATTTGCAGGTCCAGAACCTGAAGATAATTTATGAGTCTCCTACAGCTACTTTTGATGTAATCCTGGATGAGGAGAGTGAAAGCCCTGCTGTGGCACTTGCAGCAGAGACAGGGCCAAAGCTGGCTGGGGATCCTGGACTGGTCAGGGGCTCTGGTTTAAAGGGAGGTTTAGATTTGGCTGCCCAGGGGGCAGATCTGGGGTCAGCCAGTGGCTCTGCCTCAGGAGCCAAGAGACCCAATGGAATGGGCCTGGACAGAGGCTGTGACTCAGCCAGGTCTCCAGACAGCCCCAAAGAAATGAGCATTGTGGCCACTTGTTCTTTCTATGACAACATCCTCCATGTCTGGAAGTGGGAGATGAGCCTGGTGACCCCTCCAGATGTGCCAAGTCCTGGATCTCCATCTGAAAGAACAGCTGAAAGTTTGCATTGACCAGTCCCAATGGAAGAGGGAGGAAAACTCCTGAACTGAGAGTGACAGCTGAACTTAATGCCCTAATTTCTGCTGGGCTTTCCCATCTTACTGCTGAGCTTGGGAGTCCTTCGAGGCCAACACTGATGGGATTCCTGATGTTTTATTTTCAGCACAGAGGGAAGCCTTTGCTTAGAGGCCTGTGGTCATGGCCAGACAGGTTTATTTAGTTTTTCCCTTAATGTCCCAGTTCCAAGTGGAACAGCCCTCCTCTCACAGGCTGCTGCTTTGTACCTCAGATCTGAATCCTTTCAAGGCTGGTTTGCATTTCATAATGGATCTGTTAAGCCTTTCTCCTTCCCTTACAAACCAGACTTGACCACGCTGCTGTGCAGACACAGTAAGTGATCAGAAGGTTTCCTGAATGTCTCAGAAAGGCCCCTGAGCAGAGGCTTGGCTGTGTGATGGCAGAAGAGCTCAGACAGGCCAGATGCACTGCAATGTGCTCACGGTGATGTTTAACAGAGAGAAGTTCTGGTTCAGAAGGAAGTGCAGACTGTGTGATGGGGAAGTGCTGTGGGATCCTCCTTGTGAGGATCCTGGTGCTTTTCCATCATTTTCCATCACTCATCACCTGACTGCAGACTCCTTCATCATTCCCAGCTGAGCACACCCTGGTTCAGATAAATCCTGTAGTGACCCCACCATGTTTTAGTGCCACTCAACCACCCCCATGGCCTCTCAGTATTCAGCTCATTCTTTCTGCTCTCCACAGAGCCACCTTTAGGTCCAAAGTCAAGCTCAGTTTTTAAAAGGTGAACAGCTTTAAGATCAAAACCTCCAAAAAGTATAAGCGGTGTTTCTTGACATCTTTTTAAATTTAAAATAAGTACAGAAACCAAAATCTTAACAGCATTGCCCTAACTACCTCCAGGAATGGCTGCAGGATTTCTCATGGTTGCTCCATTAGCTCTCTTTTTTTCACTGTGAAATATCAGCAAAACACTCTTTCTGGAACATTTCCTCTATTCCTAGAAACAAAAAACCAGCTTAAACTAGATCAGTAACTTTTAGCTTGCGTGGTTTGTCTTTGAGGGTCCTAAAGAATGATTTGTCTGGAGGGAAAGAAACACCAGCAACAGGTCTCTGTGTAACAGTGCTGCAACTAAATGAGGTGCAGCAGATGAGAACTTTGCTGCTTTGAAACCCCCTTCTCAAGGGTGAATGTGTATTTTAGCAAACATTCTGGAGCACTGTTACATGAAGATTCATATTAGTAATGAAAACAAGAGCTTTTGCTAGAGAAAAAACATGCTATTTTTGGATGTTTCTACAATAAAACAAATATAAGTGATTTATCTTTTTTTGGTTGTTTTGAGTTTTAAAAATCAAATTAGTTGCTAGTCCTTATGAGGACGTTCTGCCCTGCCCTGAGATGGCTCGGGCTTCAAGGGGTGAATATTCTTTGGGAGTCAGAGCGGACAATCCAGTTCCCTGGGAAAACCGAGGGTGTGTCCCTGTATCTGTTTGAAAGGTTGTAATGCCTTTTATTGCCCTGTGAGAGCAGAGGGAACAGCCCGAGGGCAGCGCAGCTGGAGCGGTGACACCGCCTGGGACCAGCCTGCTTTAGGCCAGGCCTTGCCTTGCTCAGAGAAATGAGGTGAGCCAGTCAGTATCTGCCTTCACGTGGGGCGTGAGGCAAATGATGTGGTCAAGAGCAAGCTGGAATGGGCATCAAAGGGCACAGGATCTCCTGCTCTCCAGCCCTGCATCCCCCTCCTGCCACCTGCCCTGGTGGGCAGCAAGGCTCACAAGGGGAGGGCTGAAGGGGCACCTCTGCCAACAGCAGCAGAGCAAGGCAGGAAACAGCCACCTGTGTGTGACTTGTTCTGATCAGCTTCCCAGGAGGTGAAAAATGCAGAGTTCAGTTAGAAAAGCTGTGTCTTCCCCATCCCCACTGTGGCTGATCGCTGAGCACAGCTCATCCTTCTGAGATTGGGGTTGCAGCCCTGCCCAGCCCCGAAAATGTGGGGGTTTGAACCCCCCCACACCACCGTAAGGACTCATCTGGCAGCCCTTATTACAGACTAAGGGCTCACAGACCATCCACTGATCTTGCTTCCTTTCTCCCAAAGTGAACGCTTTCAGTCTTAATTTAATTTTTAAAGTTTAATTCTTAAACTTTGCAGTACTTTTTATTTAGAAACGCCATGGACCCCCTCATCCTCGGAACCCCAGAGAGGGCTCTGCTCACCAGGCACAGCTGTCTCCCAGAGGAATCACCAGTGAAGGACGGGAAATCAAACCGCAGATTTCACCAGGATTTAAATCAGATATTACAGAAGAACAAAGCAGAAAGATTTGCTTTAATGTTCAGTGAGGGAGCCTGTCCCGTGCTGGCCGGCGGTATCACTGCCACTCCCTACCGCACGTAGTTCTTGGGGAAGAGCTGGAAGAGCTTGCCCTCCTGCGTGGGCTCGAAGCCGTACTTCTGCAGGTTGTTGGGGTCGAATGTGCCGTCCTTCACGTCCTTCTCGATGCGCGGAGCCACCACCTGGTCGAAGAGCTGCTTGGCCGTCAAGGGCGGCTCGGAGCCCTCGGGGGCGCGGTACGACACGTAGGGCCGCAGCTTGAAGCCCGTCAGGTCGGGCACGACGAACTCGGGCACCATCTCCCTGACGAGAAGGAACTTCTTGTTGCGGGTGAGCACGCCCAGCTTCTTGGCACCGCGGCCCTTGTTGTGGCTCCGCGGGCCGCGCTTGCTGGTGAACGGCGACACGCGGTCGGCGCCGCGCACCAGCCCGCGGACTAGCTGGGTCAGCAGCCCCATGCCGGGCACCGAGGGCTCAGCGGGGCCGGAGCCGGGCCGGTCCCCGAGGGCAGCCGGGAGCTCAGAGAGACCGGACTGGTCCCCGCGGAATTAGCGAAGCCGGAGAGAGTCCGAAGAGCACCCGGGGGGGCCCAGCGGAGGCGGAGCCGGTCCCCGCGAGCACCGGGACCGGGTTCCCCTCACGACCCGGAGCGGCCCCGCGGCGCTCCCGCCTCGGCACACCCCAACAGCGCCCGCTCCCATTGGCCGGGCCGCGCCGGCCAATCCGCAGCGCCGATGCTGCTCCCGCGCGGCACGCGCGCCGAACGGCTCCCGGGGGGCTTTCCCCGCCAATCAGCAGCGAGCGGCCCGCGGCGTGGGCGGGGCCTGGCGCGGCCGCGCCCCCTGGCGGCGGCGGGCGGGGTCTGCGCTCAGCGCCCTTCGCCCCGGCCCGGGGACCGCGAGCGCCGGGACAGAGACCGGGACCGGGAGCGGGGCTGGCACCGGCACCGCGACCGGCACCGCGACCGGCATGGGGACTATGGCGGGGGAAGGAGCAGGTGAGAGGGCGCCGGGGATCGCTGGAGCGCGGCGGCGGGACGCGGGCCTGGCGGGCTGGTGCAGCCCCCGGCCGGTGCCGGTGCCCCAGGCCCCGCGGGAGGAGGTGTTGTTGTCTTGTTCGGAGCCCGTGTCCCGAGCTCTAGCCTGGCGAAACGGGGCCGGGAGAGCACCCGGCTCCGGCCGGGGTGACCGTGAGGGTGAGCCGCGGTCGGCGCCCTCCGTGCCCGGGCAGGGTCGGGGCTGTCCCCGGGCAGTGCCCGTCCCGCGGGGCCGTCCCGCTCTTGGCTTTCCGTCGGGAGCACGGATGGGTCCGGCTGTGCCGCCGGGCTCGCAGCTCGCCCACAGCCTCTCTCCGTGTGGAGAGGCTCCCGGGGAGCTGCTGTCTGAATTCCCGTGGCCGTGCAGAAGGTTCTTCGGGAGAAGTCCCGTCCCGCAGCACTTCACTGCTGGGTTTTGTTGATGATAAAGTTAAAAAATTATTGTTCCCCTCGTGTTGTTCAAGAGTTTGCATCAGAAGCTGCGGTCATCTCTTAACTCAGACTTCTCTTTGCTTTTGTCTTTGCTCCTGCCGCTCCTCTAGACATGGATGAAGGGGACAACAGCACCAGCCTTGAGGTACAATATGTTTTGCTCTTATTTTTGCACTTATTTATTTCCTTGTGAGTTTCCAGAAGCTGAAAGCAGCTGTACCTAATTTGATAGCGTTGGGACAATACCTTTAGATGCTTTTACTTTGAAAGAGCCTTTCCTTCTGGGAGTTTTATCCTTTCAAACTTTTGAGCATTGCTCCCATTTTGTTGTGTGTGTATTTTATTTCTTGCAAACCTGTTTCATATTCTAAACTGTTTTAATAATGCCATGATTTAAGTATTTTCATTTTTATCCTGAAGAAGGAGGAGCTGCAGAATTCTGGCAGACTGCACTTCTTGCATTTGTTTTTAATCACAAATGTGAAACTCGCAGACCAAAAAGGCACATGATGCTTTCCCTAGTCGTGAAAAACAAACCCCATGAGAGGAAATAGTTCTCAAACTAAAAAACACACACAATGTACTTGTACACAGTCAACAGTGTTTTGTGAAAATCCAGGTTCTGTAGTCAAAACAAGGCACGGGTGCCTCTGAGCTATGAGGAAGCCTTGTGTTTGGGCTAATCCCAATTTTAAGTCCTTGTTTTCAGGGCTGATAAGCCTTTCCCACCCCTGCCTGGCTGGAGAATGTGTCAGTGTTTGCCTTGGACTGCAGTGAGGAGTGGTTGGGCTCGGCAGTGCTGGGTGCCTGGACCCTGGATGGGTGTGAGCTCACTTGTGAGGCTGCATGTTTGTGCTGGTTGCTGCTCAGCCTCGAGTTCTGAAGGAAGCTCGGACATCAGGAAGCAGAGCAATGCTCTTTGTGCCAGTCCATGCCCTGGGCAGGTGACTGCTCCGTGTTCAGAGGCAGGGAGGGCCCTGCAGGGTGGTCCCACAGGTGCTGTGGGTCCGAGGGTTCCTTGGGGCTGGCTGAGCTGAGCTCCTTGGGGTGCTGAGCACAGCCCTCCTCAGGGAGGAGCTGCCCTGGTGACTTGGCTGTGCCCTCATTCCTGCCCCAGGAGCTGTCACAGCAGTCAGTGTCAGTCTCAGGTGTCTGCACAGATCAGCCAGGCTGCTTTGCTTTCTCTGCTTGTCCACAAGGATTGTCCAGGCTGGGAAAGATCCCCCCCGAGTCTGAGCAGGGCAGCATCACGCTGTCACTTGTGAGAACTTTGCAAGAACCTCTCAGGGGTTCTTGGAGCTCTGAGTTTCATCTTTCTCTTGTTGCTTTTCTGCACTGAGGCCCCAGCCTGGGCATGTTTGTGTTTTATTCTTTTCCCCATGGATTTGTTTCTCCCCTTGCAGCAGCAATGTGAGTGTCAGTTGGCAATTACTATTTTTGGTGTTATTTGAGATCATGCAGGCCTGGAGAGCAGCAGAACTGTCCATGTCCCAGTGTCTCTGACAGTGTCAAGGGGAAATAAATGCATTAAGTGACCAGAACAGACTTCCACCAGGAACTTTGTGTCGCCAGGTGTTCTACCTGTTGCTGACACATCTTCAGCTTTTTATTTTTTTCAAAATCTTGTGACTTTTTACTGCAGTCTCGTGAGTAATGGTCTGATAGCAATAGTGACAGAGTTACTTTGACTCATATTGGGAAGATAAACATTAAAGTGCTAAAGTGACCTGAGAAGGCAAAGTGAGCACAGGGATTTGTGTGAGGTGACTGGTCTGGCAGGAGTTTCCTTTGTGCTGTAAAACTGGAATTAATTCCATTAGAGAGACCAGTTTGGTGACTTGGTGTGCCTTTCATTTTTCTCTTGGTGGCAAAGCTGAGTTCAGCTGTCATCCAGATCTGGAGCCAGGGGCAGGAATGGGACCTGAGCTGTGTGTTGTGCTTAATTTAAGTGCTTTTAAGGTTCAAGACTTAGAGGGGGATGTATTTGTCCTTGTACTCACATTGTTTTCACTTGTTCCTAAGAATTGTTTTTCCTTTTTCCCCCTTTCTCTTAAGTTTTGGGTTGGCATTTGTAAGACTGTTTTAGGTGCCAGGTTTTATTCCTGAGTGACACTGATGGACACAGGTCCCAGGACAGCACACCTGAGCTCAGGGCTTCTGCCCATGTACATCTGCTTTTTATATGATTTTAATATGCTGGTTTGTGACTTGTTTTCTCAGTCTCATAAAGTCCTTTGCATTCCATTCTCATCCTTGTTGCTCTGAATAACATAGGGTGATTTTAAAAAGTGTTCATCTGTATGACCCTGGTTTAGCCTGTTTAGGAATGCACTGAACTGACAGCAACACAAAACTCCCCTACTGATCCCTTTCCTCTGGATGTTTCTGTTTGCAAAGTGGGTTATAAGTCAAACAAAAACACAATCAAGTTGATTGAGATGTTTTTTTTTATGGGGACTTTTTTCCAGCTGTGGGAAACTAATTTCACCTTCCTTTTGGTGCCAGGCTGTGTTC